TGGGCCGAAACGAGCAATAGGAGTAAAAGCAGGTGTAAGTGAGTTTTCAACGTCGAAATAAACGCGCGCCCCGGCTTTTATAGAGTCTCGCGCTCCGGCAACTGTAAATTTTCCCTTAAAATGCAGCCACTGCTGTGAAACAGCTCAGCTGCTATTCATTTCTTTCATCGCGCCTTTCTTCATTCTTACCCCACTTCGCCGCATTTCCAATTTACTTTACTTTCACGTCGGGATTCTCTAATGAAACGAGCTTGGCAGCAGCACAGCGAGTGAGGACGTGCGTACGTATATCTAAATGAATGAAATTCGAAAAAAAACTATTAATACGCTTTACGATGTGAATGGTGCATTTTTTTTTTTTTGTTCTTTGAGTTTTTTTTGTTAAATTTACTGCGTTTTTCTTTAAAAAAAAGATGTTGAAATTTCGATAAAGCTCTTGTTAACAATTTCATTTAACATTACGTATATCCAGACATACTACTAATATTGTTAATTTTCGATCGTTTGTTGACTAAATGTTTATCGAAAACAGTGTTTTTTTTGTAGCAACATTAATTTGATTGATACATTTTTTAAAAGCCCAAATTACGTTTCAATTACTTGGTGCGATGAATATGAGAGCAAAAAGTTTTATGCGTTCATTAGTTGGCCACTTACAAAGCTTATCCGTCTTACAATTAGCGAAGAAGCCTTACGATATACATCAAATCTTCAAGGCCATACTGTACAGAAGCAAATAAAGCCCTAATCTCAAGTTTTCCCTTCAAGCGAACGAATAATGATTGAGAAGACGATAATTGCACAAATTGCTTTTTTTCCTCGCTCTCATTCCATTATTTATTAGGATTATAACGGCTAAAATTGTCTCGGATTCTCGATGGATTAAACAAAAGTACAGCCTCTCCCAGACACAAACAAATTACAATCATGTCTGCCACTTTTATGTGAATTAAAATATAATGCGTCGCCTACGTGGGGGTGAATTTCAAAATAAAAATTCTAAAAGAAAGGGAAAACATTTTAGTCGGCGAACTTTGAAAAATCCGCCAACTCCGCGAGAGTCATACATTTCCACTCCATATAACTAGGAGCGAAAAATACATTCCCACCGTAAAACACCAGGGGAGAAAAACCTCGCTTTGTGTAAAATACTTTTCCGAATCTCCAACTCGGCGTTATTCGACGCAGCCACCGGCAAACGCATCAGAATTCAAAATTCTCACGCCCGAGCGTTTTTCCATCCCCACGAACTTCCGAGTGCACGTATCACGTCTGCAACGGGGCATGAAAGATTCATACACTCGTGGAGCCTTGATAAAATTTACCGATTAGATTCCCCAAGGGTGGGGGTTGTAGGGGTAAAAAATCGCCAATCCCCGGAGGGGATGGTGGTGGAATCCCACCGACTTATTTCGACGAAATTTTTCAATTTTCTCCCGAAATTTGCATCCGTCCCGCTAAGCTCGTAAATCCCCGTCTATCTCTCGCGTGAGCATCGAAAAGTTCGACGCGCATCCTTAGGAACGACCCTCCTTTTCCAAAGACGCGAGGAACCCCGCATTCCTGCAAATTTCGCGCCTCGAGTCCTCATTACTCGGCTCAACACCCGAAAATCCGAGCAAACGCTAGACACTCGTTTTGCATTTATCACGCGTACACGCAGGCTTTATAAATAACACTCACTCGCGAGGGAATCTCTTCGCGCGCTTCCGTGTGCATCATTCACTCGAGGGAGCAACAGTTCCGCCAGTGTGTACACGCATCGGTTTTTGCTCGTGCGTCCCCCGCTTTGTACTTTTATTTTCAACCATACGCGCTGAATCGACCCCTAAAAAGTAACCCCCCATCGAAGCGTCGATTAGACACACTTGCTCCCTCAAGTCCCGAAAACCAATCCAACTCCCGAGATGTCGGCACTTGGAACAAGAGCCTCCAGCCATGTGGCTCCCAGCGACAAGATCCAGCTATCGAGTAAAGCTCCGATCTGCCGGGGATGAGGAACTTCTCCCAGCCTCGAGTCAATCGCATACAACGCGCGTGAAGTCGAATTTCATTCCCGCGCGTGCACAGGTACGCACACGTGATGGGGGGAGGGAAAATAATCGGGGAATCTGTTTCGTCAGTTCTTTGGGGTATTTTTGATACTTTGAACGAGATTAGCTCTGGAAGTTGCTCTTACGCCAAAAGCAGCAGAGCTTGGAATAAACAACCAAGTTTCCGAGGTGGCGCTCTCTTTTCCCAAAGAGATACATATACATACACCCCCTGTGCAGTTTTAGTCAAGCCTTGCGGTGTCTGAATTATTCCCGAGGTATTTCACGAAAGGAAAAAGAAAAAAAACAAACACCTACCACGTTCGGGGCGGACAAGGAGGGTATACATCGGAGTATACGAGCGTTCAAGGGGGGTGGGGGAGATCTTCCGCACGATCCGGCGATATCTCGGGCGATTCGAATTTCTTCTGGTTATACTAGTGGTGCTCCCTCGATCTCCCTCTATACGCATAAGCGCCACTCTACCGTTCCGCTTTTCCTCTCTGCTTATTCCTCCTTCGTGTCTCGCCCGACGTGCATGTCCTCCTTCCTGCCTCTTTACGAGCTTGTTGTGCTTATACTTTTGCTTTTATGCGTCCTATACCAAGGATACGGGGTACAATCTGGCTCGCCGGGATTAGTTGGAATTTTCCACGATAGCTCTGTTCGTACGTCTCGCTTCTCGAGTTAATTTACCATCTATTGGCGCAAAGCCGCGCAAACGCGAAAATTTAACAAGCGCGGAAATGGGGGGTTCTGGTATGGAATACTCGCTCGCAAAGTTAATTAATTCGAAGGCAGTACCTGCACACCATTTTTTGTTTTTTTTTAGCTCCCAACGGTTCGGTCTTAATTGAGAAATTCCATCCCCTGGAATCATTGCGTGGAGGTTTTCCTCCGTCACGCGGGAGCATACCCTGAAACCGCAAGGCTTGTATATCCTTCAAAACAGAAACTCGCGAAAACAAGCTCAGTAATGATCTCGTGTGCGAGCGGGGCACGTAAATGGAAAGAAGAAAAAAAAAAAAAAACAGAAGAGCAGCCGAAATAATATTTTCCTTCAGGGGGTATCGAAAAACCTACAACAGCCAATAAAAGCGGCCAGACGCGAAAAAACCTACTGCGCTGTTGGACCTCGGGGGGAAAAAAATTTAAAAAAAAAGCTTGAAAGAGTGGATGAAATATATATATAAAGAAGCGAAATGGACATTGCCGGGGGCACAGTGTGTGGGCGGATCGCGCTAATTTGCATTTAGATTGACGTTCTGAAAGCAAAACGCGGTCAGTTTTTGGGTAAAATTTTCACTTACTTGCTGCTGTTGGAAAACGCACAGCCAAGGACGAACTCGCGTTTTTCGCTTTTACTCTGTAAACAGTTGTTTTTGTGCTTAAAAAGCACAAGCCGTCGAAATCACCATGGGGTACTCGTAACACCCCGCGTAAGTCGCAATTTAATTTTTAATTTTAACCGATATTTATTCTTTACATTTTTCCGTAAAACTAACTTTTATCGGGGTGAACAAAAAAAAAATTTTGACCCGGTGGTGAAAAAGAAGGTACACTATCTCTCAATACGGTGTGTTTGCAAACTTGGGGAAAAAGCTTATTGGCTCGGGTCCACGAGTTTTAAACGCAGAGACGCTGACTCGAGCACTCGGCCGAGTTCTTACTTACCCGAAAGAGAGAGTTTGCCGTGTTGGCCCTCGCAAAAAGCACCGAGTAAGCATTTTAAAATCTTTCTCTGCTTGTTTAACTTGACACGTGATTATCTGGATGTGGTTTTTATACGGTTTTCCCCGGGACTTTTAACTTTCTTCACACGCTGTAGGTGCGATAAATTTTAGACACCCAACTTTGTCAACGTTATTGAATTTTCTCTCTTTTTTTCCCTTATTGAGCCATTTTTGCCGTTTAGAGACATACGAACGATTTTCGAAACGTAAAGACCAACTGAACAGCTCCGCGAATCTCGCAACCCCCTTATAGCTCTGCATTTTTCAATTTCCATTCAACGACCCGGGCCCGTTTTGCATTCGCTACCCCGTCCCGCATTCCGATCACGTTCGTCATTTTTCCACTCGCCAGGGCCCACTCGCATTCGCGCAACTCGCGCGGTGCTTTCCAAAAATCACCCAATTCGACTATACAAATGCACATACGCACGGGGTTGTAGTTTCATTAACCTGTAAATACATTTTCATCAGCTGCGCAAAATCGTAACTCTTCGGTGCACTGTATACATACAAAGCCACGTGCAAGCCTCTGTGCTTTTACCCTCCGCATTCACCGCGTTGTATATATCACACACTCCTCGATTGACTTCATCAAGCACTTCCTTGTTGCTCGCCATTTTCGTTGCTCGAAATTTCAATATTACAACACCGTGTGATCGCTCGATGCTTGCTCGAGACGAGCCGAAATATACGATTGAACCTAACGGCAAGCAATCAATCGAGTGCCGGAACTTCGACTTGAAATTTTCTCGCGGGCGATGAATCAAAAGCTCCGCGGAAGTCGTAACGATGGAAGCTCGAAATAAATGTACAACGCACCCGGCAACCAAAGGCAGAGGGAGGGGGTTTATTTCCAACGGCGTATCACTTGATATAACTCGATAAACCTGCATCTCTTTCAATTTCGCCGGGCCAGTAATAATTCATGCCTGTCATACTGCCACCGTGGGCTAACTCGCTCGGGGATATTTAAATTCGCGGGTGCTCGACAGTTTCTAATAAAAAGGTATATATTGGCGAGAGAGCGCGGCTAACATTAGAACGCGCGCGATTTCGGTTAACGAACTTTTCGAGTGCACTTGTGCTGTGTTGTATCAACCAATGCGGATCGAAGTCAATCAAGCGAGTCTGAGGGCGGCTGCGCGAGAGGGCGAGCGAAACTTTACTTGTCTTTCACAAATATAAGTACCATGGGCTTGTATTATTGCGCGTGACTCGATTTGTACATATGTAGCGAACGGTCGACGGCACAATTTTAACGGAATTGGTAACGAGAGGAAGTTATGGGGCAAGCAACCGCACTTACCGGCTGTCGATAATTCAGGTCTCATGTTGAGCGACTTAAATCCCGCTTCCGGCAACTTCAGCAACTGCACAACGGTCAGCAGTACGGAGGAGCGCGTGCTCGCCAACTATATCCGAGACTGGATCAGCGCGTGTTTGTTTGTAGCACGTAAGTAATACACTGGAGATATCATTGTGATGAGCTGTCGGTAAGTCAGGGGTCAGTAGATAATGTTGGTGATGCTGCTTTACCGACGTTTGGTTCAACAGAGATATCGATTTCTTAGCAAAAGAGAGCTTTTCTCTGGAAACGAGCTTTAAAACTAATACTAACTGATATCAACTTTAAACTATTGTGATTTCTGAAAGATTTTTTCGGAGGTGATACTGAAGCTTGGAATGAATGTATATTTTATACAGAAAACTACTAGTCGGTGTCCCCTCATCACCTCAAAGGTCACTAGTTATTGCTTGCTAACCATCGATTTTGTGCCGACCATTCATTACCGTAGTATCAAAATTTCGCTGAAATTACATATACTTACAGTCTTACATTTTTCTCCTTTGTATCGATATTTTTTCTCGCAACTATACGTACTTGCATGTTTTTTCTCGTAGACTTACATGCCACGTAAGGGGGTATTTTGAAATCTTGCACCGTATCATCGTATTTTGCAAAAAAAAAAAAAAAATTCAACCCATAATTAATATCCGCAGAGAACCAGGAGAAATTCTACTTGTACGTGATCGTGTCGGTGTCGATGGGTATGCTGGTACTGCTGAGCTTGGTCGTTGGCAAGCTGCTCCTCAGTCGTCACAGGGCGAAGCGCGACGCCAAGTTCCACGCCAACAACGAGTCTCTGCCGAATGGCTTCACCGACGATATCTCGGAGATCGACGCCGATATTGATTTGACGACGCCAGTGCCTGTACCCATGCAGGACACGAGGCAAGTATACCCGCACCTCCTTCTTTTTTAAATCATACTCATATAGACTTCCATCATTTTCCCTTCTCCCTCCTTTGATTCACTAATTTTTTTTTTACATCAATTATTTTTAAACGAAGCTTTCAAGTTATCTCACGTGACAATGAAAAAGGCCTAATCGCATCATGAAAGTTTCATGACGCAGCGCCAAAAGAGACACACAACAAAGCGAGGATTTAGCGCGTCCGACTAAACCCTGGCATGTTCTACTTACATTATCCTCCATAATACGATACGCGAGAGTTGCGAGCTTTTAAAGAACTTTGCGAATAGCTACGGGTACAAGTGCACCTCATTTTGTCTGTATAAAAAAAAAAAAAAAAAAAAAAAATGGTACATATAATTTAAAAGCTTCGCAAATGAGGGAGAAAAAAAATTATAAAGCTCTAACGAGCCTATAAAACTTGCAGGCTACCGGAGACTCAGTTGGCGGAGCGTCTGCACGGCGAGCGATACGGCTACGGAGACCCACGGATACCCCTGTCCCCGGCCCCAGGGTCAGTGCACTCGGGCCACAGCTTGATTGTGTCAGCTTCGTCGGGCCAGTACCACCCGGGCACGGGGGTGCGAGTGGACCTTGGCAACCACATGGTCGGCACCGACAGTTTGCACACGATCCTTCGGCCGGAGGGCTCGCGGGCTGGCTTCACGTCAGGCAAGACGAGCTACTATTACGGCTGACAGGAGGACGGGGTCGTCCTGCGCGAGGCGGTAGGTCGGCCCCCCTCGACACAGCTCAGCCCCGTGCCCGAGGTCAGCTCGCGCAAGTACTGCTTTTAAGAGCCCGGGGGGCAGACACCTCACGTATCGTCTCTCTCTCCTTTTTCTCTCATCTCTACATCTTTCTCTGTCTCTCTTACTTTTCGATTTATTTTTTTTTTATTTATTTATTTTTTTTTTAGTTTTCGTGCAGAATTATTATCAAGGCGTCGATGGGGTCGTCTTTGGACTGACTTTTTTGCGTGCACGCGTGCGGGAATGTTTCTCCGTTTATCCGATGGTGTGTTTTTGCGCTGTACGAGCTGGGAGTTTGTGTACATAGAATTAGGTAGCGAGGAAGGGGTGCTGCGCGTGAAAATTGCATCGCTGCCGCGGGAACCGTACATCTTGTCTTGGCTTTGAACAATTTTGTGCTCGAAATGCTTGGATGGAATAATTTTCGTTGCTTACAATATTATCGATCGACTGTACGTAAGACTGAAAAAAATTGATTAATTGACGATATTTACTGCCAAAGAAAAAGTCCATTTCCGTCATTGCCAAAGGAGGGCTCGATATTTCGGAACCAATTTTCGCTTGTGTTTTTTTTTTTCATGACAAGAAATCATCAGTAAGAATGACGTCGATTCCCTCGGAAGCAGTAGGATTTATCAGGGTAGTCAAGCGAGAATCTCTTTGTTAGAAAAACAAATTCTATGTATAAATAATTAAATCGAATAACGATAAAAACTTGCGATTCTTAACATTAACTTGTACTGACGATAACGAGAGAGCAGAGAGAAATATTTGGCGCGTCAAATGGCTACATCTTGAAAATTTTTATCGACAATTACCGATGATTGATTATCATTTATTGGCAATACTTTGTAATATTCGAATTGTGTAAAGGAAGTAATTGTAATGCTGTTAAAGTTGGAAATGTTGAAATCGAAGGTAAATATTTATTCGTGGAAAAAGAAATTTGATAAATTACAAGAATAACTCGATCCATCCAATCTTTAACGTCATGCAGTGAATAATAATTAACATACTGGTTAGTACGAGAATTTTAATTTCAATATTTCGCTGCGTATCGATATTTTCGATGAATGCATAATCATTAGTAATTACTCAGACTAATGATTTTCTTCATTGGTGACTTCTTTTTTTTTTCATTTATGTATTTATTTGTCATTGAAAAATAAAACAGTCAAGAAGCATTAAGTTACAAAGTCCATAGTTACTGCGGTAATAAACAAAAAATAAATGAAGATGAAACAGCTCTCAGATCTCGATTTCGCGTGTATGATATATAAATATATCTAACTGTAAATAGTAAAATGTAAGGACTTGACTAGTTTAAAAAATATCAAGAGTGGCGCTCGATGATTTCACTTGTGTACGAAATTGAAAATTTTTTGACAACTTTTAGAAAAAATGATGTACCTACTGATTTTACGTTTCCTCACATAGCCACTGCAAAGGAAAACTCAAACTACGGCTGTGACTAAAGCGAGACTAAAGAGTAATCGAAACAATGAGTTCTTTCATATGCACTAGTAATGAAATTTGTGCTATGGTTGAAATGATTATACTGTTTTTTTTTTTTCGATGTAAACTGCCAAAATATTGACTCATACACAATTTTGAAAGAAACAAAGTTTCGATTACAAAATATGTAAAAAAAAAACACATGTTAACAGTTTTTTCACACGTCAAAAAGCCAACTCTTTTTGTTTCATTTGAAACTATTATAATGGACATAAAAATTTATGTAAATTAAAATTCACTTGAAAAAATCTACTCGACCGAATGACCCCATTATTTTCCAAGATTGTTCAACCCAAATTGTTTTTAACTACGAATGAATGCAAATAATTTGTACCAAAGATAACTAGGATCAATTATGGATAATAATGACGCGTCTATTATTGTTGAAGCATACTATCAGTGGAGTGCCTGACGTACCGAAGACGTTCGGTATACCAAGTGCACGTTTGATCCATTCCTTTTTTTCAATGCATAAATAAATATAATTACGAATCGACTTACTGATAGTTCAATAAAACAATCCAATAATATCTTTTAATTGAAAATCATATAAATTTTTTCTTACACGTGCACCTTCTATACCCGATCTTCGCGTTAAATCATATGATCGTCTTTTGTATAGTTACGAAATTTTTAGCAACTTTGTAAGTGGTGTAATTAAAAACTAATAAACTTATCGTGTCAATAGATAAGCTCTCAGCGAAAAATTGTAAATATAACTGTGTAAAAGAAAGGGACGACAATTATGGAAAATTCGATTAACTCCACGACCTAAATTGCGAGAACGTGAGCATTAATTTTCACGATCCAAGTGGTTCTCTAATAGCTATTAGCAATACATACAATTCGCTAGCCCAAGACCTAAGCTGAATGTAGGTGTACATTCAACCCAACGTATAACGATGCGATCGCTTGACTGAGACTTTGCCACTCCCAATTGATTCCAAGCCGCTATTGTGACCTAATCGATACGAAATGCGAGTTCTCACTCAACACTCGATGGTTGGAAGAGACTTGCCAAACAGAGACTGCCTGAGGAAATTGGGTACTCCGAGATCTCGTGTGGCGATACTTTGGGGGTACTAGGCGGTATATTCCCTGGTGGTACTATAAAGTAAAGCCCAAAAAGAGTTGGTGGAACAAAAAAGACCAAAATACTCGATGATGATTCCAAGACGGCAAAATTGATTTCAACGAATTGAGTTTCGCAAGCGCATACATTGTCGGTCCTAAGGTTGTAAATATTTACATGTTTACCGTGCTCAATTAATTCTGTAAACTGTAAATAATACATAAGGAATAACATAGTTTTAATTAAGTAAATAGGAATAAAGAAAATCCTTTTTTAAGATTATTTAAGAAGTTCAAGAAACAACAACAACAACAACAACTTCGGTACATTGATAAATGAATTATTTTTTTATTTCTAATTACTACTTGACAAATTTTATACGTAACGTAGAGATTATAGCAAATGTTGATTTATTGAGTAAGAGAGTATTTGAAATTTCGTCAAACTATATGAATAAGAACTTTTTAATTGTCGCATCAAAGTTAGTTGAGGATATAAAAACGAAAAATTTACGATATTATATAAATAAATATACATATATGTGAATGGAGATAAAATCGCCGCAAAAAAGACAGAGAAAAGTGTACCCGATCGAAAATAAAGGACCCCCACCCCCAAATTGTATTACGGCACTACCAAAAATTTAAAAGCCGTGTTTTTAAATATGTTCGCAAAATAAAGGGTTAAGACGACGTTGTGTTGCGATTGACTTTCACTCCACGTTGAAGTGTAACGTGATCTACAAAGTTTGATCAGATCGAAGTGTATGATAGTAGCGAATGCGCGTGAAAGGATAATTTGTTACGGGATAATAATTGCACGAGTGTACCATTCGATACTCATATCTACAAAACACTTGTTTATATTAGAGGATAAAAGTAAATAACGGCGTTGACATGCGACTATGGGCGTTATAGTAATTACTGTATATTATATAAGTCACTGTTGTTATATCATCAAAAATAAATGATATGAAATATTGTAATAAAAAAAGACAATTTGTTGAATTCTATTTTTACATCCAATTTACCACTTACTCATGGAAAGTCATTTCAAACATTTTTATGGAACTGCTAAACTCGAGTTTTACTTAGTCGAGAGATTCAATTGTGTCGATTGAATTATTTATGCTTTTTTATTTTTATTTCATTAAATTGTGTGAATCAATATATTAATTTAACGTTAATAATTTTTCAAATAATGTGGCGTTGGAATTACCAGCTCGAACGGGATAATAGAATGTAGGTAAGTGAGTGCTTGTATAACAGCTCGGCAAATACGAGAGTGGAAATCAATCCATCAAACGCACTCGATTCGATTATCTCCAATGTTTACGTGTGCTCACATCCCTTTGTTATCAAATGAAATGGAGAATCGGATTATCGAGGTACCGGCCAAGTATACCTACACATTAGCTGTGTTAAAAAACACACGGTATAAAAATCATTAATGGTGTTGTTTTTTTGTTTTTTTTTTTAATATTACATAAAACACTTTTGTTTTGGAAAAAAATGTTTTTACTTACCAATAATTGCACTTAAAACTCTATCAATGTAAATAAAAAAAGGATTGAATTTATATTTTTCTTCGTCAGCCGTACAGTGATTGGCCAACTCGTACGTTCAACCAAAGAGATCAACTGGTAGTTGCAACAGAAGCTGCAGCAGCTCGGCCGGCCAGCCGTCGGCGTTCCAGCAACGCGGGCGATCCAGGTCAAAGTTATTTCTCGAAGAGTAGCAGAGAGAGAGAGCCATGGATATGCCGGGGGAAAGGGAGGGAGGGAGATATAGAGTGCGGAGACCATCAACCTTTGCTCGAGTGACCTGCTTCAAAATTATATTCATTACTCCTATAGGGAATGGCTACAGGGGTGTTGGCGTTTTTGCAGCTTTGTCGCCATACGTTTCACTACTTCCTCGTCCCCTTCTTCTTTTTGCTATCGACTACATTGCTGTTTCAAGGGGGTGTGATTTTTTTTGAGACCAAATGGAGCAACCGATGAAATATCGCAATAGTTGTCGTACAACATGGATCGTGTGATTTTTACCAGCAACATTGTTCGATGAGAAGTTCTTGTTTTTTTTTAGAGAATAAACAATTTTTTCCAAAGACTTGATTGCTGTGTAGTATCTATCTGTCACATCTTTGTATTTACACAAATTATCACACGCACTTACTTGATGTAGTCACAGAATAACCTCTGTATTTTTACTTCCGATCAATTCATAGATTTCAACAATGTAAATTTTTATTTTTTTTTCTAATTAAAGGACGGTTCAAAAAATAATTCATCAATACATGTGGCATTTTTTTTATAACATTTTTATTCTAAATTCAAGTGTCATCATACAAAAAGCCCTCAATGCAATTTATAAAGTATGAGCATAAAGCTTAAGAACAATAAATAAATAACACTTTGAAAATTTTTTGTGAAACCAAGTTTAAATTTTTTAAAATACAACCATAAAATTATTTAAATAAATAAAAAATGTCTTCTAATTAGATCCTCTTTAAACATTAGTAGAGTATATTTTATGATTAATCATATGTTAACCGAGTAACATGGCATTTAGACCTGCTAAATGCTTATTAATAATTAGTTGTAACAATATTGTTTGGTTATTGTTTCTATTTATTGGTGATGAACACATTTTTTCCCATATTCTGGTTAAATTCATTCAATAGTAGATTTTTTGTTTAATAACATTATATAAAGTGATGGATAATGTAACATGACAAATTTATTCAAGTGGGTAATTTTTACGAATCTACAAAATTTATGTTATGAAGAACTTGGTATTCCTTGGAATTAACCGCAAATAAGCTTTTACAGAAAAAAAATACTGCAAAGTTAAAACTTATGTTTGAATTTTATCGAATAACATTAGGCCATGCTATTAGGCCAAAGCAGATGCATTTATCATTCCTTCGTCACGCTCATCGCCAACACGCGATCGTAACTGTAGCACCTAAATAATTTTATTTAATATGGATAATCATGTTTATTTTCATCGATTTTCACTGTCGTAATATTATACAATTATTTAAGACCCCGTTTGCCTAGTGTAATGTTTCTTTTATTGATTTTTGTAAAATCGCCATTGTGATATTTATTCTATGGATACTAAATAAGTATCGCAACCTTAAATGTACAAATATGGTTTAATTTCCTTTATTGACATATGTTTATTAATACTCTATAACAATTTATATAAATTAACCATATTTATTACCAACAATTTTTAATGTGGTCATAGTTTCGACTACAAACTTTATGTTTGATTATAGTATATTAATATAAACTTTTTTGGTGGATTTTAAAAACTCTTTGAATTATAAAAGTATTTCAATGATTGTGATTAAAAATTTTTTCTTTAGAATCTCGAAAAATTCACACCAATTCATAACAGTGGCAGTGTGTCGAAGTATCAATCCACAAGGTTTTGTTATTAATTTTTCGATGATAAATTTTGTTATAAATATTTTCTGAATTTTCACTTGAATTGCAGAATATGTAATATGATTGGATTCTACACATTTTTGTATGGTAATTAAAAATGTATACGTCAAGTAAAGAAGGCATTTCGGTATATTATTTACAGATTAATTATTTTGAAAAATTTTTCCTAAAATGAATAAAAAATTGTATCATCATCTATCTACAATCGTTACTTATAACTGATAATATTCATCAATTTTACTACAAAAATATATACTGTACGATAAAAACACGCTTGAAAAACAATTTATTATGGTATATTCTAAGTGGTTTTCCAGTTTTTATGGATAAACGAACTCTTTTACATTTTAAGCGAAAATTTGTCTCTCACAATAAAATTTCCAATCTTGAAAACACGAGCATTAGTATGGGTCGCTTTAATCATGAAAATTATCTTTTTCACGTTTTTTTTATTCATTATTCATTTTTCTGTTCTGTCAAAAAAAAAGCTCGTTTCATTAATCTTGAAAAAAATGGTTTTCTCCTCATTTTCATTCAAAAGGATAAAAAAACTTATTCGTAGTAAATGAAACGGTGAGAATAACACGAAACGTCGCAAAAACGTATAACTGAATACAAATGCAAATATTTGTCGACACGAGGTCGATCGCGCGCATCGAAATACATTAAAGAAAATGTAGGTATCAGGAATCCGTCAATAAGACGATTGGAAATGTTTTTTTTTCTTTCTTTTCTTCACTACTGGCATTTTTCCAGATGCATCGAGAAAGAATCCTGTTTGCTCTCTTCATAATTTTTTTCCCCTCAATATCGGAGCATCACTTGAAATCGTACCCACTGATTTTGAATCGCGTTAAATTATCATCCACATATCAAGTATACATTGAAAGGAAAAGCTACATCTAATCCTTACACGCACATGACATGACCATAAGGATGAAGTGATGACAAAAAAAGTGCCAGACACAAAAGACCGACCAACACATTGGTCCCATGAAACTAAAGCGAGCATAAAAATCTATCTCTAGTTTGTATAAAATAAAAGACGGAGGAGGGGATGTTCAAAGCAGTGTAAAATACATTCCCAACAAAGCCAGTAGCTCTCCATCCCGAGAACAATGCGGCGTCAAAATCGAACGGCAGCCAGAGACCCACGATCCTGGAGCCGCCTATTGAACCAAATAACGTACGATGCCGTGCTCGCGGAAGCGAGAGATAGCACACACCTCCCGACCAATTACACAATGACGCGATGACCTCAAAACTCTGACAAACATCGGTGTCATTGTAAAACCCGCCCCTATTCTATATACGTACGTTTTCCTCCTCTTCGTCATCTCACGTTATTCCAAAGTCACAAAGAACAGAGCGCGTATCAGCTTATCGCGCGAACCTCAGCACGGCGGTCAGCTGAGCTGGTTGGCAAGCTTCCCGAGCCCGATTTTTGCCGCCTGCATGTAACACGCCCCCACAACCATCTCTAGCGTCTTGCGATTCTGGACCGTATGCCTCCTAATATGCTAATGAACTGACCGCGCTTGGGAGATCGAGGACCTCTATCATTTACAGGGATGTTTGGACCTGTTCTTGAAAAATTTTCATGCGCAAGACTGGAAATTTTTTTTCTTTCTTTGCTCACTTTTTCATTGAATTATAATTATACATTCAAAACAGTCCAAAATGATTGATTGCAAATTTTGATTATTTGCCCGTGTTCTTGAATGAGACTGATGAAATTTTCCACTACAAGTTATAAATATCCATAACTTTTATTTGTCTTACTTGTATTGACATATATTTTTCTACTAATGCCATAACGGATCTGGATATGTTTCTCAAACTCAACTCGAAACACGTTCATTAGCTTAAAAACTATTTTATATAAGTCACTAAAAAAGCATCTTGTAAAACACTCGGTAGTATCCGTCGTTGTTTACCTTATTGTTATTCCACAACGGAATACAATTCACAGCCTAAAGTACCATTACTATTCACAATAATGAATTACAGATAAGTAGATTTGATTTATTGTTTATGTTCTTTGTTAATAAAAGCAATAAGTTATGCAGCAAGTTGAGGATACAGTAGTAATAGTGTTAAAATAAGACGTAAATGTTAATCATAATACCATTGCGTGTCATCATGCACATGACAACTTATTACGCAATATTGAAATCATCGTTTTATCGATTGTGACATTGTTGTGGAAAAATGTTACTAAGCAGTGAAATATCAACAGAGTCATTTTCCTTTTGAAACAACGAGTCCTCGGTAAGAAAGATTGGTAAAAAAAATTCTTGAAGCCAAACGGTGCCAACTTAAAAGAAAAAACTCCGGTCGATATCCTAATTCCAGAGCAGGCATATTTTCACCTCAATTTCGCTGATGAGTCCTCCGGCTGGAAAAAGACCAATCGAGAGAAAAAGCCTGGGCGGAAGCGCACACAGCCAAGGCCAATCGCCTCCAGCGGCTATCAGATGGAGCGAGACGTAGGGAGGAGAGGAAGAAAGTATATCGTATATCAAAAGTGGGATGATAAATTTAATGGCCCTACGTGTATATTTATGTAGGAAACTTATCGACTTAAACAACGTCGTAACAATCGATAAACTTAATTGCACGAAAAATATGGCTATTTTCAAAAGTTCAGCGATACCCGTGCGAAATTAACTTCGTCCTAAGTTCAATCGAGCATTTATAGCCTGTACCCAAGTAAGTACTCTGTACAAAGTTTTACGCGTCGTACAGTTGAATACAGCCTTCGACAAGGTCAAGTAGTAATATCCGGTTTTGGTCAGACACGTCGATTAAGCTTTAGACGAGCGACAGAGCCAAGTAGTAATATCCGATTTTGTTCAGACACGGTGATTGAGGTTCAAACGCACAACAGAGCCAAGTAGTAATACCCAATTTTGGTCAGACACGGCGATTGAGCTTCAAATGCACGACAGAGCCAAGTAGTGATACCCAATTTTGGTCAGACACGGCGATTGAGCTTCAAATGCACGACAGAGCCAAGTAGTGATACCCAATTTTGGTCAGACACGGCGATTGAGCTTCAAATGCACGACAGAGCCAAGTAGTGATACCCAATTTTGGTCAGACACGGTGATTGAGGTTCAAACGCACGACAGAGCCAAGTAGTTATAGCCGATTTTGTTGAAGTTCAATCGCACGACAGAGCCAAGTATTAATACCCAATTTTGGTCAGACATGGCGATTGAGCTTCAAACGCGCGACAGATCCAAGTAGTAATACCCGGTTTTGGTCAGACACGTCGATTAAGCTTCAAACGCGTGACAGAGCCAAGTAGTAATACCCAATTTTAGTCAGACATGGCGATTGAAGTTCAATCGCACGACAGAGCCAAGAATAATACCCGATGTTGGTCAGACATGGCGATTGAACGCGACAGACAAGTAAGAAACAAGTTTATAGTTTATCGAGTCGTTCAAGAATCACAGTCACCTTCGTGTGTATCCCAGTATACTCGAGACGCAGCGAAATCCCTCAGGGCAAAAGAGTAGTTTGTCTGCAAAGTGGCTTAGCAAAGAAACGAAGGCAAAGGGCGAAGAGGTTGGGGGGTAGTGCCGCTCGCAGATCTTCTCGGCGTGAAAAGCCGAGAGTGGCCGTAGTAGTGAGAGAAAGGGGAGAAGGGGATGTTCTCTCAAGAGGCGGCCAAGGTGCTCTCGACCGTCTCGTCCCGGCGTCACAAGGGCCTCATGACCTCGGTGCACTTGCAGTGCACCGGATGACCTCGGCGCTCCACCTGCGTGCTTATCGAGTACTCGCTGCAACAGAAAGCCAACGCACCGGTGATGTATTATCGACTCTGATGATGATGATGATGATTAATTTGCCCATTGTGTATATGTGTGGGGGTGATTTGCGATGCCTCGAGGGGGTTAAAATGACGGATATACCATGCACAGTATAAATTCATCCGTGACAGATGATTCTCTCATTTACCTGTGAAAACGCGTGAATCTCCAAATTATGTATATGGAGAAGGGAAAAGCAAAGGGTCTGATTACGCAAGAAACGTGTGTCGACAGGCACAGATCAATAGACAAAGTGTGTGCAGACGTGTGCTCGAGCAGCAATGGCAGAAATGTAAGCCTCTTATGTCACTCTTGCAGGTATTTGCAAGGAGGAAAGGGGCTAAAATGTCTAATAACGTGCTCCATTCGTAACTACATGAATTCTAGGTGAAAATAAGGCGTATGTACTTACAGGACGTGATCCATTCGTCAGATTACAGGCAAATGTTTACACATGCAAATCATAGGGGTGCAAGCTCAAAATTCCCAACGAGATCTTCACGCCGTCGATTCGGGACGCGAAAACCACCCCCTCAAACCACACGAACGGATCTATTAGTCGCGGACGTACAAGGTGTACACAAGCGCATAATTGTCTTCGGTATGTAGTGTGTATCCCGTTGCACGCGCCGAAACGAGACTCAGAGGCACGCGATAGTCTGCACTAGCTCTGTGTGTGTCCTTTTCTGATGGCTCTATGTACCTGCTCATCGCGGTATCGATCGATTCCCTAACGCAAGTTATCGTACATGTACTGCTGCTGTCTTAACTCACCTCGCGTGTACACTACAGCCGTGATTTATCACTGTGGCTCGTAAATACACAAACGGCGTGTATATGTTATAGCGTACAACTGTTGGTTCGTTATGATGAGCTTTTTTTCTTAATTTTAAAATATAACTTTTCCAGAGCCGAGTGATAGATTTTATCGATTCTATTGCTGCGTCGGTCTCGTTTGCCAGGCACGTGTGGATTTCATTGGGGATTTGCATCGCGATGACTCGATGGCGGTCTAGAAAAGAAAAGATTGATCGGCAGAGGACGACTGACCCACTTGTGAGGCTCGAGGGCTCATCGGGCTTGAAAGTGGTTTCACCCTCTCATTAGGACCTCGCTTGTGTGTGTGTGAATGTGTCAGGCCTGTACGTTGGCTATTCAAAGAGAAGGGGATGAGGGGGGATGAAGAGTCCTTTCAGCTGGGTGGAAGGAACCAAAAAAGCAGCTCGATTGTTTGGCTGGAGAGAGACGGCCCTCGGGCGCGCCGATGGAATTCACGTTCCAGGCCGCATCTCGCGAGAGCGGAGGCAGGCGATTGCGCTCTTTTTTTTCATTCGTTCGAGCCATTGTCACGTGTTTTAGGGGGGGGGGGGAGACACATACGTATATGTACGACGCCCGAGGATGAACGGCGAAAAAGGGAGCAGGAGAGAGAAGGAGAGGAAAAATATAAAGGGTAGAGATAACTCGGGGGTGCGCGTGTTGGGGAATCTAGAGCGGTGTACCGCAGCTGTTTCATCGCGATAGGACGAGCGGCTTTGTCACTATCTGTGTGCGGTACGCTCACGCACATCATTTTTTTCCAAGAAATTAAGAGTTCACTGTGTATACATTTATCTAGTGAGGGTTATTTAGCTAGGGGTAGGGGTAAATTGTCGAGGATTCACGAGAGCGAGTCGATGAAAGGGTGGCTTTTAGCTCACGCCTGGGGATTGTCATTTCGTCGTGTGCACAGCACTAATGTGCGCCTTGTGTAGCGCGTATGAGTGATGGATTTTTCGAAAAAGCCGTAGCTCTTTGAGAATCGACTTTTCGATAAAGTGCTTTTTTGCCCACGAGCTAGTTAATTAAATGTCGGTAGTGAGAGTGGGGGGATTTTTTGAGGGGTCGTGCTGCTACGTACCTTGAAGAACATATCTCTGGAAAAAATCAGACTTTATTTTGCTTGCTCTAAACATCTGGCACTGTTTCAAAAAATTGCTAAAGCTACCCTTGCGTATGCGCTTGACGCAGTGGCATTCGACGTGTACATCAGCTTTAAGAGCGCGCTGCTCTTAAAAAGCGGTATAAAACTTGGCCTGCCGGTAATAGGTTCGCGGATGTGTTTTGAAAAATTTTTTGTTTCATAATTGAAACTCGTTGCTTTTTTTTCCAACACGGAAGAAAATCAAAATCAATGCTGTGCGACAAAGTGGAGGATGTGTGATTTGTTGCCTCGATGTATACGAGAATGAATTACCAATCTTTATTAATAATTATCAAGAATCTTAATCCGGTTTGACAAAATTTTACAATTGATTGAAAAAATGATTAAAATGTTTAAAAAAAAGAAAAATGTAGATACCGTAAGGAAGTTCAGAAACTAGTTCGTCGTAAAAAAATTAAATTGGTCAATCAGTAAACGTCGATCTCTTCCTACGTAATTTTCAATTAAACTGGAAACTAAGTCGATGCAAATTAACCAGCACAAAGCTTATTTGCTCCGTATAAAATTAACAGTCGGCTTGGCGAAGGAACGCTCGACGCTTATCTCAAAAAATAATGCATTATTCATCGATACGCTCCTAAGGACGCGAGAACTCTCGGTTAAGTTTCATTATTCACTGCTCCTGCTGCTACGTATACGACGCGAGGATGGAGAAAAAAATCAAATTAACCTCCCCCCCGAGTGCCCCTTTGTACGGAAAATGCACCATGTAGCCTTCAGCGAGAAACGAGCAATCAAAATGTAATAAAATTTTTTCGAGCACGTGAGGCTTGGCGCTCGCTCTACTTTCTACTTGGATTTTTTTTTCCTTCCTTAACGTCGTCGTCATTGTTAAACGAAAGTGCAAGTTTGAATGAATTATGATTTAAATTTTCCGCCTTTCTTTTCGAATGGGCTTTGGAAAGTGTGCAAAGTAATCAAATTCAAGTATCACATTTTGGAGTAAAATAATAATATTATTAGAATAGTTGTTGCTACTAAATCTTTTTATGTTTTACAAAAAAAAAAAAAAAAAAAACCAACCCTCGCTTCGCACTGCACCTCGGGCTATCGTCCCCCGAATCTTCGACGTGGCTGTAAAAAACTTTCGCCCTATCAAGATGGTCACGAAGTTTCCCGGTACACCGCAATCGTAATAGTTCCGAGTCATTTCGAGCTCTGCGGCGCACGTAACAATCGGCCGTTTAAAATTCAAAGAATTTGTTGACTATACGTTTTATATCCCCGTAATTGCTGTTTTGCTCGACAATGCGATTTACCCAAGTCTCGGAAATTTTCACTCGAATGTAATCAAACCTAAAGCTATATTTTAATTAACACTCGGTTTGCATTGCTCCTTTCCAACATTAAAAGCCTTGTAATTTTGCTCTTTAAAAAATGTTCATACACTTTTGTTATCAAGCAACTGAATTTCCTCGCACCAAAGATCACAGATACGGTGCAAAAAAGCTAACACTCGATACATCGCGCTAATGCACACACACGCGATGGATGGCAGGAGGGCAAAGTGGAGGCAAAAAACGTAGCAGTGGCAATGGTTCATCTCGTCGATAACCTAAATATTTTAAAACAGCTCGTACACCTCTTCCGGATCCCTTTACCACCCCTAATGCTCGCTCGATTTCAACGTGTATATGATTCATGCCGAGCCAAAGAGCCACCTCTGCTGGTGAATAGTGTTCTCGATGCTCGTGTTAGCTCACAATGTACCTACTCATTTACGTATTAATGACAAACTGAGGAAACGTAATTTTTTATGTAAACTCACTGTCAATCCAAGCATCTTAAAATAATACTCCTAATAGGTGTAGCAAAAATTTATACTTTTCATAAAATGCACTACAATAGTACCCAAGCGTTGTAAAAACAAGGAAATCCATAACTATTTATTTTTCGGGCTCAACCAAACTAAATCATTTTTTCTTGAGAAATGGTTAGTTGGACGAAGCTATACAGTTAAATAGCTGACAAACGATCGAAGAGAAAAAAATTACCAAGTACTTTTTAAAATTGACTTGTTCACGTTGAATGCGCCTAATTGGAATGCAACTCGATGTATAATACATGATGTAAATTTTCGAAGCGGACCGCAACTACCGAAGCTCAGAAATGCGACGAGGGGCACGACCCTGTTCTAGTATGAAAGACAGGATGTAATCACGCAAACTTAATCGCTGCATTTGAATAATCAAATATGTGTGTGTTGGGCAACCGCTTCGAGGCGGATGTTATTGAATGTCATCGGTTCTGATTTTAATTGTCTCTGGTAACAAAGTATGAATTTTTAAAAATTTAAAATTCATTTCTCAACACAGTACGGAACGCGAGCTTTTCCACGGCACACGTAATGTCTTCCCAGCTGTCGTCGCACGTACAGAACTTACATGCTCGCGGCGACGTCGTTCGGATCTCGGAAGCTGATATCTCGCGCTCCCACATTTGCATCCAAGTCATCAACACTTTCGGCTACCAGCGTGGCCGACTTTTCCAACTCCCCACAGCTGCAGAACTTTCGACTCGTTGACTTGCTGCTGTTCGCATACAAAAAAAAGGGTTCTTTCTTTTCCACCGATAAGAACTTTATTAAGGGCGCGAGTTGTCGGCAAAACTGAAAAATAGACCTCGTTACATCGATTAATGGGTGATGGCTTGGTGGATACCTGCTGTTAATTGCGACCGTATTTTTCATTGTAAAAGTATCGCTCGATCGGATGAAATTTCATTTTCCAAGGGGGGGTAAGTTGTGTAACTGCGCCAAGGCAGCGAAACGACTTTTAAAACTTACCACTCCAAGTTTCCAGAATCTTTTGGTGTACGGCACCGCGTTAATGGGTCATGGGTTTTTGCAGCAAACTTCTTTGTTTGGGAGAAACTGCGGGCAAACTTTTCCAATTCAATTATGGTCCCCGTTATTACGGAGGCACACGAAGATCTTGAGACTGTGCTTCGTGAAAATGCGAAATTGCTCATTTGAGCGGTTCTTTCT